GAAGGTCCCCCTGTTAATTCAGATGAATAAATCAACTGTTGGATGAAAATTATTATCTCTCCGTCTCTCTCTCCAAAGAACTGACCCGGAATCCCTCACCTCTGACCCTCAGCTCCCTCCACCTGTCTTTTATTTTCTGTTTATGCTTTCAAATCGGAAAGCGGAGGAGGAAGGAATGAGCAGAGGGCACAGACAGAGGCGGGCTAGCGCTGGGACGCACGCTTCCGAGGCTCTGTTCCGCCCTTCCAGCCTCTCAATAATCAGAGGAGGTGTTAATGGAGGACTCGGCGGTAACTGAACCTCATAAAGCCGAGAGCATCTTGAGACCTGGGCGCAGCCGGGGCTGGAGTGGGGGGCTGAAGTACCGCAGCGGGCCCTGGACTTCCGGCCCTCCAGCCAGCCTTTGCTTTCCTGGAGCTGGTACCCAAAAGATGCTGCCGCCAGCTGGTGCCTGCATAGACGGTGAATGGGCGGTAACTCCTGCGGGAAACAGGGCTAAACCATTGATCATTCACCCACCGCATCCCCGCCTTCCCCTCCCAACCTTTCCTTGACTCTCCACTCTCCTAAGCTGGACATCGTTAACCGAACATGTTGAAGAGTATTTTGAGCTCGAGGGCGGTGTTAGTGACCCGGCCAACCCAGGGGCCCCGGGCCTCTCTCCAGCTCTAGCCCCTAATAGGGGGCGGGGTAGCGATTAATCTTCCGGGAGAAAATAAAAAAAGGCACTTAAACCCTAGCAGACGAATATTTGCAGGGACGCAGCCAGACACCGGACGGGGCGGGGGGCCATGTTACCTGGTCTCAGGTTCCCGAGGGGCTGCGTCGCCCCGGGCGCAGTCAGGCCGCTGGAAAGTGGAGGGAGAGTCGCGAAGCTAGGCCTCCGGTCAATTCTTTACCCACTCCCCCACCAGGTGCGCCCCTCACAGCCGGGGATGGGGAGGCGCGGGGTATTACTAGGCTCCAGCGCCAGTGGGGAAGGGGGTGTGAGCAGTGAGATTGGCAGCTCTAGGATGCTGGTCGGGATGATGGTGCCGCCCTTCCTACCCGCCTTCCCTACCCGCCTTCCCCCCTCCCCGCGTGCCATCACAGCTCTTTGGCTGTGCGTGGGCCATGGGCGCGAAGGGCCAGGGGAGCGGGTGTGCCTCCTAGAAGCTAGCAAAAAAACTGCGTGGGATTGGGGGCGACACGTGGGGCGGTGTAGGGATGGAAGCCAGCCAGCCCCGTAAGCTTTGCCAAACAGTTTAGACGCGTTAAGGGACAGAGCATGAAGCGCGAATCCGAGCCCCCTTTCCATTCCAAATCCCGAAATGTCTGGCTCAGAGCACCGAGGGCAGAGCCACTTTTTTACCCGAACACTTGTCTTCACTAACTAGTCTTGCTAGCCAATCAGTCCCACCTTTTAGGCTTCCCCGCCCCCGACTTTTTTCTTCCATCCTCGCCTCCTCAGCTCTTTCTTTCAGGATGCCCTTATCTCGGTCAGGTCAGTTCGCAGCCAGGAGGGGCCAAGACTCTGGGTTTCAGCTTCTAAGTTAGTCAAGGAGGTCATGGAATGGATGAATGGCGACACCCACCAGAAAAGGAAAACACTCTAGTCCTCTCAACTCATTTATGCCCAAAGCACTGTTTTTAAAACTCTTTGGGGGTCAGAAACTGGTTTAGATACTTTACAATTATGTGGATTCACACACACACGTACACACTTAAGTGCACACCAAGGCTTACACTTCAGAATACAAATCGGATGGGAGGATGTGGTAGTTACAGATGCTCCAAATGCCTCTAGAAACCATAATTCCTGACTTAACATTCTCTTTTACAACATAATTCCAAGAAGGAGAGCCCTAAGACTGTCTCCTGTCATCAGCCCAACCTCAAAACTGTTTGGGAGAGAAGGGTCAACACAGCACCCACAGGGGCACATATCAAGGCATCTGGAAGTCCAGGGTGTACTGGACATTGTAGGGCCAACACAGTCTCTGCCTAAAGATAGTTGTAGGTTCTTCCACAACCTTTTTTTTTTAATCAGGTTCTACAGATGTGATCAGAAAGTTCACCATCCCACAACACCTATAAGTACCTGTTTTATTTCCCCCCTGAAGGGAGAGAATAGTTTTGGCATCCAGGAGTACCTCTTAATTGTTGCAAGGTAGTGAAAAATAGCACTCTGTTTTAAATTCTCTACGGTGACAGATGTCAATCCACAAACTCAAGCCCTTGTTGGAATGTAGAGAAGATGAAGTAGCAGTTACAGACAAGAAAGGAGATAGAGGTTCTTTCTCCTCTGGCCACCAACTGTGTGGTCTCAAAGTGCTCAAAGGAAATCAGCATACCAAAAGTCATTCATTTTGAAGATAGAGAGCCTCTTTCTCTAACCTTATATGGAGAATCAAATCTAAGCTCCACTAGGTTCTCATGGTGGAACTGTGTATGTGGAACAGACTTTAAGAAATCCTTTGGAGAAGCAGCATTTCACTGAAACAAAGACCTGAACCAGGCCCAGAGAGCATATTGGGTTTTCAGGGCCTGATCTGTTCCACCACACCCTGAATTTTATTAGCATAAAAGCCCCCTCTTCTTTCCTTTGAATAATCTGTGGGGACAGTGCAGCTTCCAAAGTGTGAAGAGTGCACATCACCATTCACTTGCCAGAAGAACTGCCCAGGACAGGGCCCTTTTCCAGTTAAGGGAAGAAGTACAGCATCAGAAATCTGTTCCCACCCCTACCCAGGAAACCCCCACTTCTCCATTCTTTGGTGTTAGAAACAATATGGAAATCAATCCCCTTGATTTATTATACCCTGGGGGGAAGGGGGAGAAGTCTCCAGAAACCTTGGAAGTGACCAGCACCAGAGTTTATTTAAATGGGGAAGTCTCTGTTTCTTGGCATCCACATGTGTTTGTATATACACACCTAATAAGAAACCTGAATTTTTACTTTACAATGTGTGAATACAATATAGCTTACAGCTCTTGCAGTGAGGCCTATTTATGTGGCCATATTGTGTTTAATGTGGGGGCACCCGCCCTGCTACCACCCCTGATGTGTGGTTCACATGCATCTCTCCAGAACCACTGCACACTTCAGACCCTTGGACAAGATGCAGGAAAGAGAAAGACTATCCCTTCCTGACCCCACTCCCTGACCCATCAGCAACTTTGCTGTCTTGCCAGCAAGTTTGAAATTCTGCCAGGAAGAATTGCCAAGGTCCCACATAAGGGTCCTTGATGATTTCTGATTTTTTTCTTGGGCCACTTCCTTTTTTCAAGGAGTGCTCTGGAAGGAAGAAAGAACTGTTTGTGGGAAGGGGGCATCCTAGGAGTTACTTCCACCTACCAAGAGGCTTTCTCAAAACACTGCCCTATGTATAGGGCTCTTTTCAAAAGAACTACTTCCTTTCCTCCTTTCCTAGTTCTCTAGAAAGATGGCCTTTAAAAACTCAGTTTCTTTCTGTTCTTCCCTTTGGGGCTACTGAAGAAAGCACTATCCTTCCTACAACCAGAAAAAAAGCCTTGTTAATTCTCCAAATCTGGCAGAAAAGGGGGGAAATATCTGGTTGTTTTCTAACCTAAGAATGGAAAGGAAATTGGCTCCCAGAAATCCTTCTGCCTTTCTGGAAAGAGTAACTATCTTCACAATCACGATGCTGATCACCTTCTACTCCCTTCCGCAACATAATTTGAGGAGAGGACAAAACAGGCCAAAATCACCAAACTTCTGTATCCAAGGAAGTTACTGACCTCTCACGTGGCCCATGGAAAATATTGTTTGGGGTGCCATGGTTAAGGCATCAGCAGAACTAGGGCATGAAAAATGCCACAATATATGGAGGCAATTTAATATTAGACATAAAAAAACAGAGAGCCATAATTAAGAGAAACATTGAAATCACTAGGCTTCTTTTCACATGTTGTACAGTTAGGAAAGGCTTTTATTTTGAATTGAGTATAGAAGGTACCAGGGCCCTCTGCTTCGAAACTGAAAGCCCTTGGGGCCACAGGCCAGCCTGAGGTAGACCCCTGAGGTGTTCAAGAACTGTTCAGATTCAGTGTAAGGCTCAATGAAGGTCAGTTATGAGTAAAGCCAGCCTTCCTAGTAGGCGGCAGCCTCATTTTACTGAATGAATTCCATTAGGCAGAAAAGGGTCTCTTGGGGGCTGCTATCCTCATGGAGAAGCTGAGATGGTGTGAAAAGAACAGTCCCTGGGAGCACCTACTCAGCTTGGAGACTGACACTTCACAGGGGCATCACCACAGTGAACAGAATGAATGCAGCTAATAATACATTCTAAGATAAATTTGCCTAAGAAGTATCAAAAGAGATGGAGGAGGAAAGGATGGGGGAGGGAAGAAAGAATGGTCTAAGTGTGGCATCTTCAGCGGCCTGACCCCCAAGTCACAATGATTTAAAGTTTTCATTGAAGGAACAGATGGAAGATGAGAGCATTTCTTAATGCAGGATGGCACTTCTTGGGCACTCATATGCTGCACAACATAACATTATATCAATCTCCTTATAGCTCCAGATATAAATAAAATGAAGGATGCACTGTTCTATTTGCCAGCAACCCCCCTTGGATAGTAACACTGATGAGAAAACAGTAGGAGAACCAAGGCTAAGAAAAATCAAGAGCTACTCATGTGACCCAATTGCTACTTTTATTTAATAGAACAGTCATTATTTTCTTTCTTCAACATATGTGTCTGATAATGAAGCAAAAAGAAAGAAAAATAGTTATCAATGTGCCACTTCAGAAACACACAACATTTGTTAGCTTTTTCTTTTATTGATGTTCTTTTAATATATGTATTGAAGATTAGATTAGAGCACAAATACTTAACAGCACAGAGAGCAATCCTGGATTAAGGCTTCATTTCTTAAAAATTACAAGTTCAATTAGACAATGGAGATACAATTGTTGTCAAACATAAAAATATGAATTGAATTTCTTCTTTTTAGATGGATCTTTAACATTGACTTGACCATATGGACACTGAAAAAGAAATAATACATAGCATTACTGAGTTATCTAATAATCATCTTGAAAAAACACACTTCTTGTGAAAAAAAAGACTGCTAATAACATTATATAGATCATTTGGTCTATCATGTTTTGCAGACTAAGAGGAAAATAATGGCAACCTCAGGCAAATGGTCCTAATTAGGTCCAAGAACCATTTCCTAAATGCATCCTTCCAACCTTAAGCATTTTACTGTCAAAAATCCACTCTTGGAAAATACTGAAGTCCTCAATTTACTCGAAACTCTTATGCATTTGATTAGAAACAGCTAATGACATAGGTAGGAGCACACATAAAAGTGAAGGGTGAAATTTTTAATACCGGCTATGATTAATACCTGCATTTAATGTCTATAATTTTCAAGTAGGTTAGTTAAAGGAAATAACACCTTCTTGCAACAAAACATACAAAGTGTTCTGTATACAGATGTTAAGTTTATAATCTTAACTCTATAACAATTTACCTTAATGATGTGCCTTTTGATAGTTCAAAAAAAATCCTGGTTTTCTTTCATCAAAATAGGGCAGTAGTATAGTTCATCTTAATCAGTATAAATAGAAATATATCTATTGACATAAATATATTAGGAAATGAAAAGCACTAAATTCAGGTTAATCTAACTTCACAGACTATTTGAAGCACAGACTGGGGGGTGGGTGGGAACAAAGACAAAAGGAAGCAGGAAGGACAAAAGGGAAGGATGCAGGGGAAGAGAAGGATATGAAAGGAAGGGAAGGGAGGGCAAGGAAGAAAGAAATCTTTACTATTTTAAGTAAACCCACCTCTCAATGCTGGACAAATTTCTATTTATTCCGCTAATAATAAAAGAAAAGCTTTGTGGGATCTAGTTTGCAACATTCTTGATTTCTCTTCTTGTCTCTTTGTACCTGCCCAGTAAACATAACTTATTTGAAACCTCATGAAAAGTTTCCTTGTAATAAAGAGCTCCCATGAATATCAAGTCATAGCATTTGAGGGAACTGATACTTGTAGTGAAAGGTTACAAAATTCCATTAACTTTAAAGGTCCTATGTTGGTACTAAGGACTTCATTGTCCTTGGCTAAAGTAGCTTGTGAAAAGTGCACTCCAGGTTTATTTAGCTTTTTTATTTGACTTGTTGTTCAAATAACAGGTATTTACGAAGCACCAAAAACTGCTGCTGTAAGGCGAGAATTGTTACTCACGTGTCTACAGGCGGAGCCACAGCAGGAACCTCTCTGCAAGTGGGCTATCCGTGTGAGCACCATGTAGCCAGTAGCTGGGTCCACATAGTTAAGCTGGCCAGTCTGAAGAGTAATAAAACAAAACAATTCATTAATCTCTATGTCCATCATATCTCAACATAACTTCTACTTCTAAAATACTGCAAAAACGATTTCAAAAACAATATTAAACTTCTCAGCAATGTTAGCGGCATTTGCAATTAAAGACTGAATGCATTCTGACATTATATACAATCTAACTTTATGTGACTAAAGGAGAAAATATACAATTTGAGAAAAATGAGAAGTTGATGGGAAAACAAGACCTCCTCTATACTCAATAACAATGTAGCCACTGCTCTGATATTTTTCATTCAGTTTCTAGGTAACACACTTAATAACAGGTGATTTAAATGATTTTAAGAGCTTAAGAGGCTGAAAATGAACTTTCACTCAGAAGTTGCAATTGCAATTTTAGAACTTAAAATATGTGAATCATGATTTAAACTTACAGAAAAGGTGCTAATCAAAACCAGCATTCCTTATAGAAAAGCATTGCCTTTCCTATTATTGAATGCTTTTCTTTACTTTCATGATGTGTTACCCTATCATACGTTTTACACTATTTTCCTTTTTTTTTTTCCTGGAGTGTTATTCTATTTTTAAGTGAAAAAGTATTGTTTTAACATATTAACACTCACTGCTTTCACAAGTTTGATCAAAGTCAACTTTTAGTAGACTATTTCACATGTCAAGGAAACATTCTCTACCTACATTCAAACATAGTAAAACAAATGAATAAAAGAATCTCAATTACTTTCTGTGAAGGTAAAAGTAAATTACAACTTCATGGATTGGGTCATATAGGTGACACTACTTAGCTTTGAGATTTTGTAGGGTAAATTCCCCATGAGGTTTTTATATAAACCTCTTACCATGTAGTAAGTCACTGAATCACTCCTGTATAGAAACTTTTCACTAAAATACACATGAAACCAGCCTATCTTCAGACATACATTTTTGCAGGGAGTCACAAACTACTTCTTTAGTTGTTCACTATCTTATTTAATGGCTGGATATTTTATTCTAGTTGAGGTTTTAACCAACTAAATTTTGTGAATAGAGTGTGTAGCAAAAGGACAAGTTCATTCTAAGACATTCCAGTAAAGCTAGACCAGGGCCACAGAAATCCAGCAAGGCACAAGGCTGGTTTCAGGGGCCTTCCACATCCTCTGGGACCAGAAGCAGATTACATGAAGCCAGGAACACTAAACACAACTATTGAATGACCAATTGTCAGGACCTCAATTCCTTATTTACAAAGCCCTATTTGGAAACTTGGAAAAAAGAAAAAAAATACTGAGAACTTTGTAGCAGTCTTCTTTTTACTTTTCATAGCTTCTGGGGGTATTCTGAGGGCAATTATCTGGCAACTTGGAAACATAAAGGGTTGCTTCTGCACATGCGCTGTCTGCCTTCCTTTCCACATTGATTGAGCACCTCTGAGCTCCTTAGCTGCCCATACACACTTAATTTGTCCTTCATAAAGGAGGCTTACATCATGGTGGCAACAAAGATTCAGCAAGAGGGTTGACAGTCTGATTGGAGACCAAGGTGATCAGTGATGCACATCAGCACTGAGAGAAAGGTAAGAGAGCATCCTGCCTGAGGCATAGAAGGACCATTGTGAGCTAGCTCTGATTTGTTGAAAAACAAAATTGTCACTGGGTTTACTAACGGTTTCCTGGATTGTCATTTTACCTGATACTGACACTGATGAAACAAGTGTGGATTCCCTGAGCGAGAAAAAGCTCTTTTCTTTCCTCATGCTGACTGAACCTGTCTTTATATGCCGCTGGTGTTTGCTCTAAAGAGAATGAAACTTATGGCTATATCACCATATTTATGTGTGAAGTGTGGGAACAAATCACACATGCTGTTTTAAAAAGTATAAACAAGAATAATCAAAAGCTGTCAGTCATTTCAGCATGAATCTTTATTCAGTTTCAATACTTGAATGGGTCAGTGGATTCTCAAGGCCTACAAATTGTCATTTTAAAAAATCAACTTTAGTCAAGCTCCAAGATTTTCTTTTTTACCCCTCTAGCTCTGGCCATACCTTATAACACTAGTCCTATTAAGTACTGGACATGGATGCATACACACACATGAGCCTGCAGTTAATTTCATATCACTTTTCTATCATTGTTATAGAAATGTTTCTCTTTTTATCCCATCCTTTCTTTTGTAAAGGAAATACAAAGGTAAATGTGCTATCTTCTAACTTATGCAGTCTGAAAAGTTACAAGGGAAAGCTGCTGGTATGCTCAGTTGAGAGAGCGCCTTGCACGTGCAAGGCCCAAGGTTCTATCCCCAGCATGGCTGGTGGTGGAGGGCAGGGAGAGCCACTCAGTTCGGATATTGGTAGTAAGAAGCAATCATTAAAACCACAAAACAGAAGCAAATGTAGTTCAAGAGTGTTTAGGAAGAATGTAATCACCTGATGAGAGGAAAAAGAACAGAGGAAGGTAGCAAAAATTGTCTTATTTCTTATTATTAAAATCACTGGAAACAGAAAACTGTTCAAGGGAGAATACAGATACATCATATTTCTATAACACAGCAAAATTTTCCTATGATTTCAATTATTTCATTTCCATCAATGCCTTAACACCCGCTCCCCCCCTCCCCACACGCACACGGACGCGGGCGCACAGACCCACACTCGGTGGTGGGTCCCACTCTGCGCCCCGAGTTTAGCTAGGATGTTAACCAGAAAATGAGTCAAGCTCTCCCTCAAAATATGCAGTAAACGCTTTGTCCAGAACGCCGGATTTCCAACGCAATGGTGCAGGTTGGGGACCGAGGCCGGAGACCCAGCCGCGGGCGTTCGCAGCGGCTCTCCAGGGTGGGGCGACCTCGGGGCGGGAGAGGCGGTGCGCGCAGGCGCGACGACCGGGCGGGACCGGGCGGGGTCTCACCGCGCAGGCGGCGGCGTGCAGCTCCGCGATCTGCTGTTCCGCTGCAGTTAACTCTTCGCTCGCCGACAGCTTTGCTGCTCCATCGGGCCCACCTTGCGAGCCGGGCGTGGACCCGCCGTGGTCTCCCTCTGCCGAGGCCAGCGTGAGGCCCAGACGCTGTCGGAACCCTGTGCCGACCCAGAGAGGGACTGGTGGCCGGGCGGTGTGGGCTGGCCTGCGGAGCGCGGCGCCCGCCCATGCCCGGACCTGACTGGCCGCCTTGGCCGCCATGGCCGCCGCTGGCCTTTGGGAGGCGGAGCGCCCTGCCCGCGCCCCGCAGGGAGGCGAGCGCAAGACTGGTGCAGGGCGCCGGCCGCGCGGAGCCACCCCGGAGAGAAGGGCGGGGGCGCGGGCCTGGAGCCTTGCCAGGCTGCCCCCGCGGTACCTAGGTGGACTCCGGAGGCTGCTAATGTGGCGCCAAGGAAGTGCAGAGGCGCCGAGAAGTGCGGCCCCGCCTCTGCACCTACATTAAAATTATGTTTCTTCCTGAGAGGAGGGTGGGCAGCTTTCTCATGTCAGATTAGACTAGATTGAGCACAGCCGCTCAACTGTTGAAATCCCAGAAACGGAGGTCTGTTGCCACCTTGGGCTGATCTGGAAAAGGTCGTGTTTCCGGGCACTGTGGGTGGGAATAAAGTTTAAGCAGAATCTTGGTTCTTTGGCCCCACCCTACAATGAAAACCAAAAGTAAAATCTGCGTGCTGAATAAGAAAAGGTGCTGTTTTTGTGTTGTGAAGTATTTACAAAGTCCAAACTAAAATTACATTTCGTCTCTGAGCTGAAAGTTATCCTGATACTCCCCCAAAAAATTGATTTTGAGAAAATTAGCACAAGCTCGGGAGGTAATTTCAGGTGTTAGAATTAAATTGGCACCATCCCATTCCCAACCTCTAGCCTAGGTTTCAAGAGAAGGCCAGATTGAAGAGTAGCAATTGTGTGTGTGTGTGTGTGTGTGTGTGTGTGTGTGTGTGTGTGTGTGCACGCGCGCGCTCTTCAATGTGAAGATCTGAGAGCTGGAATGAATCTTTGAGGACAAGAGTTAAGAGTCTTTAGTTGCCCACAAGAAGGATGACTTAGCCACCATAGAGCATCCAAGCCCTTTTATGGTATCTGCATTTAACGTGTAACGCTGTAATCATTTTAATTATCTTTTTTAAAATTTAGTTGTAGATGGACACAATATCTTTATTTTATTTATTTTTATGTGGCGCTGAGGATCAAACTCAAGTGCCTCATCATGTATGCGAAGCAAGTGCTCTACCACTGAGCCACAACCCTAGGCTCAGTCTTAAGACCTAATTGAAACAACATTATAGGTACTTTGTAAATCTCGGTGAATTAATATGTTGTAATCCTATCTTGCAAATGTTTCCTTTGGTTGCAATAATAAATTAGAATCTGGATTTTACTGTTGCGAGAAAAGAGTTTAAAACCTGGAAGGCACCATCCCATTCCCGACCTCTAGGGAGATTCTAGAGAAAGCTATGGAAGCATGGGGCCAAAGTTGAAATCACCAAAAATGAGTACTTTTTATTAGAAAAGAGAATTCACCATAAGTCAGACTTCCATCACCACCAAATTTTAAAGGAAATAAGTTTGAAGGTTCAGATTTATTGAGGTGTTTTCAAAATTGAGCATCAGGCCCATGAATAGGCCAGGACGTCAAATTCAAACTGAGAAAAGCATTTTACAGATATGAAATAGACAAGACCAGATTTAAATAGAAAAATAAATGGAGTCATCTAGAAAGAGTAGTTGTTACATGAGATTTGTTTTGGTGGAGATGGGAGTGTGGAAGTGACTGTAAAGGGGTTGAACTATGACATTGTGGCAATGTCATAGTTCTGCATCTGGTCCATGATTACACAAATTTACGTGTGATCAGTGACATAGAACTATGCACACATTGTTCCAATGTCAAATTCCTGGTTTTCATTTTGTAAAAAAAAAAGTTAGATGTAAACCTTGAGGGAAATTTGGTAAAGGGTATATAGAACATCTCTATATGGTATTTACAACTTTTTATGAATGAAATTATTTTAAAATTAAAAAACAGTACTTTTAAAAGATGTAAAACTGGTTTTCAGATTACTTGGTAAGGCAGATCACTGAATCAGGCAGAACTTTTTTTCTAATCTCCATTCCCAGGTTAAAAATCATCCTGCTTAGTCAAGGCCTCTGAACATTTGGGCTGAAAAGGCTATTTACATGTTACCACTGTGTTGATTCTTATAAATATATCTTTAAAATATGATCAACATTGGAAATCTATGTTATTAAAAGAGATGAGAAAGTATCTCACTACTAATGATCCCTAAATAATTGGTAATTTAATTAGAATATCAATTAGATATTGAATACGTGTTCCATCCCTTCAGTTTTCATTTGATCTTTATAGTCTTTCATTGAATATCAAGTAACTTTCATGGTGCCTCTTGTTTTATAAATCTTCCTCAGGACTTGACCCTTAGATTATTATATGTGTGTTTGTTTCTTCTCAAATATTTTATACTCCCACAAGAAAAAACAAAAGTGGAGGACTAAACCCCACTTTAGTATGGTTAGATTGAGTTCTCATTTTATTTTTGAAGGATTTACATCTAGATTTGGTCTAGAAAGACTTGTTTTGTGCTACAGACCTGCATGTAATATGATACTGGATATGTTTTATAACCCTTCCCTTCATTTAGGATGTTTATGTTGATATTGAACATGCTTGCTGTGTTGGGGAGCAGGTTTCAGGGAAATGCATTTCCCTATATTTCACTTATATTGATTTTTAAATAGGTATGTTAGAGCTGTAGGTTAGTATACATATATTGTATATACATATATATCTTGTACAACTCAACTCATTATAAGAAAAGGAATTTGTTTGCATATATAACCATGAGGCATAACTTGATTACAGACTCCATGTTATGACCAAGGCTTAGTTCTTTCCATTTTTCAGCTTTGCCTCCTCAGGGCTAGTTCTTTTTCAGGAAGGCTCTTTTCTCATTGATGAAAGATAGCTGAAGACCGTTCCTAAGATATCATTGTTTCTCATCCTTGTGCGGGTAGATAGATAGATAGATAGAGATAGAGATAGAGGAACCTTGCTATAAAGCTCCAGGATAGGAGAAGACTTGTATCCCTCTTGGTAGTCTTACAGTGTACTTCATCATGGATTCATTCCTGAACCAATCTTAGGAGTATAGGTTACACTCAAGCCAATCAGAGGCTGTCCTGGGTATGACTCTAGGCAACCCCACCCAAAGAAACCTATGGCTGAAAATGTTCTGTACTAATGCTGAGGGAACAATGTAACAAATAGATCACTAAGTTTTTGTGGGCAGCATGGGGGTACCGGGTACTGGGGATTGAACTCAGGGTCACTAAACAAGTGAGTCCATCCCCAACCCCATTTTTTTGTACTTTTTTTTTCTTTAGAGACAGGGTCTCACTGAGTTGCTTAGTGCCTCAATTTTGCTGAGGTTGGCTTTGAACTCCTGATCTTTCTGCCTCAGCCTCCTGAGCTGCTGGGATTACAGGGGTGCACTACCATGCCTAGCAGAACTTTTAGCTTTTCAAATGTAGTCATTTCTTGGGCATTGTTTTCCCAAAATACCATAAACAAGACAACATGGAGCATATCGCTTTCATCTTTATATCTCACAGGACATCATCTCCTTTGGCACATAGCATTAAGGCACATATTGAGTAATGAATAATGAATTTTTGATTGGACAAAGAAGTCAATGGTTCATTCTGAAATGTATAATCCCAACTACTGGGCAAAACTGCCATACAAAATTTTACATTTATTTTCTGTACATAATACTGCATATCTGAAAATACAGATTACATATTATTACAAATAAATGTTTTTGAAAAAAAACTAAATGTAAAGAAATACTAAATCTAAAGTCTTATTAAAGAACAATGGACTATTTTATTGACAAACAAAATAGATACATTCATTATCAAATGATCTCATCTAAGCTCTTGAAATCCTGCCTTTAATTGACTTTAAGTGTTATCTTTTAATGAATTATGAATCTATTAAGCTGTTCATGGACAAATTAGTGCTGAAGGCATAGAGCTACCAACAAATTTCTTGTCCATATTCTGCCTGTTTTTTTGAATTCCTTTTGGACACTGATTTATGTATCTGATGTTTTTCAAATACCCGAATGGTATGTTGTGACATGTCGTGCTCCATGTAGAGTGCATTTTCACTATCAATTCTTATGATTGAGAGCAAATGTTACATGCCCCTAAGGTTGCCTATAGGGAATCTTTTTTCCATTTAATCGGATATCCAGTAGCACACTTTGTTTCACAGAGCTGGTCTTAGAAAATTCTTTGGGGAATTATAACCATTTCTATTTTCAAGCCCAACAAATCTCTGCTGACTTCACAGTAGATGCCACTCCACCAACGTTCCATGCCTAGAGCACTGTTGCATTTGGCCCTTATCATTCCATTTTGTTTTTGTTATCTTAGAACATGTATAATATGAAGTAATGTAGGCTTTTCATTTGCCTATCCACTTTCTCAATCATTCTTTAAAGAATAGTAGTCTGGCTTCTACCCCCACTGCCAACATCAGGGTTGACTTGACTGCTAAATCCAGTGCCCTTATATACTACTTACCTGTCTAAAACTCCATGCTGCTTTTAAAGGGGTGGATTATCTGCACCTCAGAGATCTCTTCTTGACCTATGATACTACAAATTCTTTATATTTATGTTCTTATGATGTTTGTTTTCCTCAGTTCTTCAGCAATCCTCAGCCTACTGTTCCTCTCACTGTATCATACTTCCAGTGACTTTGTATTTATGTTCTTAATCAGTTATAATTAATTATGCTAATGACTCACAGATTTCTTAATCAGGGTCAAAGCTTGTGAGGGCAACACACATATATATTTATCTGCCTGCTGGACATAAACATTTAACAATATCCCCAAACTCCTCATTCCCAAAATGGACTTAATCATCATTACATTTGAAATCTTATTTCCCCATTTTATGTTTCATTATAAAGGCACAGCTACCCAACCATTTGTAGATTTAAGAGATTTTGGGCTAGTCCTGAACTCTTCTCACATCTCCCCATCCAGATTATCACCAAGTTTTGCCAAGCTTGGTAGGTAGTCTCTAATTATCTCAAATATATATATATATTTCAAAAAGCCTCAAATTATTCTTTCTTTTTTCTTCTATCACTGTTGTAGTTCATTATAAAGAATAGAATAGTCCATTAACATAAATAATGACTGGATGTGGTGGTTCACCCCTTTAATCCTGGTGGCTCTGAAGGCTGAGACAGGAGGATTGCAAGTTCAAAGCCAGCCTCAGAAACTTAATGATGCTTTAAGTGACTTAGCAAGACCCTATGTCAAAATTAAAAATAAATGAATAAAATGGGATGGGGATATGATTCAGTGGTTAAGCACCCCTGTGTTCAATTGCTAGCACTCCCCAAAGAAAGATACACACACACACCATATATGGTAGTGAATAATGAGGTCTTATTTTGTATTAGCACCCTTCGCAAAGTGCTGGAGAGCTATTATTCATAC